GGGTATCAGGCAGCCAAAATTACGGTACGTTTCAACCTGTTTACTTCCCAAATATAAATTTACAAACTACCTAACTTACTAATCCTATGGGACAAAGTCCCCGTGAGACGAAAATCGCTTAGTTAGTCAAGAAATCCCCCCAGTCTTATTGAACATAAATTCTGTCCTTATCCTGAAACAGATTAATTCCGTCCACACCCTCCCACACTATTTACATAATTCAAATTCTAATATCATTCCTTTATCAACTTCAAACTCTTACGGGTGGCCCATTTCCTTTAGGCTTTCCAACCAAAAAGTAAGTAAATTGTATTTCTCATCTCCCCCATGCGTGCTATGTGCCTCTCCATTTGATCATCCTAATGTTTCGTGTAGAAAGCGCATTAACTCTTCATTGCACAATTTTCTCTGGTCACCTGTCACTCCATCCTTCTTAGGTCAAAACATTCTCCAAAGCCACCGTTCTCACACAGCATCAGTATTCTGTGTTCTTAGACCAAGTTTCACACCATTACAAAAATTACTTAAATTAATCTTTTTATATTGTAATATTTACGTTTTTATTACATACCAACCACAAAAATAAAATATATTCTAAAAATCATGGTAGTAGTGTCTTAAAGTTGTGCAACCCTGATCTGCATCATGAAATGTTCCAGCACATGGCCAGACCGCAGTGATTTAGGTTTAAAGTTTAAATCGCCGACAGATGGCACGCGACTTGCAGAATTTATTACTGTGGAATGGTGTTTCCCAGGGAAGTGATTTAGATTACTAGCACCATCTGTTTGAGGGGTGGAAGGGCCAACAAAGTTAGTTATTTCAGTGACAACACGTGCAACAAACATGTTCTCCTCAGAAAGAGGGTAAGAAAATTCACTCCACAAAAACTGACACACACACACACACACATACAAAATCGGTATTTCTTTTGTGTGTGTGAAAAAATAAAAAGTACATTTCTGTCTATAGTGAGATTTCCTGTTCTAATGACAGACTAAAAAATGGCTGTATTCTGGAACATTCCGTCATGTAGTCTGGTAGAAGTTTACCGACGTTTCAGACAGATTTAAGTTCTACTGAAACTATTAGATTAAATTTAGAATAATGACAAGTCTCCTAAAGATGGCAGGATAACCAACCCCTGAAACGTATTGCATATGAAATCTCGAATAATGGATAGTGGCTAACGTATTAAAATTATTATAAGTTAATAATTTTTATAAACCTTTCAGATTCATTATGTTGTGTTCGAACGTTATAAACCAAAATTAGACTTCAACAACTTTTAGTGCAAACAGACAATAAAATATTTAACTAAAATGTGATAGATAGTTACAGATGTGAAACATATGGACCACATAATTCGTTACGCGAAATGTCTCACGCGTTATAATTCTGAAAATAATTTGTTGTACATTAGAGCAAAGGACATCTTCCGGCAGATATCCTCACAAAGTATACCGTGTTGATAAAGTATCATAGTCATACCGCACGTCCTTGAAGCAGTGCGACACTTGGCTAGTTTGGTAATCAGTGAATCTTCCGTGTGTGACATTTTGTACATATGTAGGATTTGAGGTTTTCACGGAGGTGAGTCTGAAGATTGCTGTATTCATTTTGTACATTTTCGTAATATAAATAGACAACAATATATAGTAACTTAGGGGAGAGAGTAGAAATAATATCCTGCCCGCTGTTCGTTAAAACATCTGGCGCTGTACCAACAGATGTATCGTTTCAGTAAGTAGTCGAAGAAAGTGGGGAAAGGTCCGCGTTCCATTCCTGAGTCTGTATTTCAGAAACCAGGAATACGGCCCGTTTGTCGACAAATTGAACGCATCTTTTTGAAACAATGTTTGAGAAGCTTCGCATCCCATTACTACCAGAAAGAATATGAAGCTTCACCTATTGTGGCAGGTTTCAATCAGCTCCATGAACCGGGAGGTTTCTTCTGTTTGATTTTGGGCCGCTTACTGCTGATAAAATACTACTAGGAATCCTGAGAAATAATGTGATTTTACTCTTCCAAGAAATCCTTACTCTCAGTGACACATACAACTTTCTTTATGTCGCAACATGGCACGATAACTGTTCGCAACACTCCTGGACAACTTTGTACTTTCTCCTATCTCCGCAAAAGTAGAGTTAATGAAATCCTGTCTAAGGGAGGGTGAAGAAATATCCGCTAAATCACTGAATGATGACATATCCAATTCTGTATCCCTGTAAGTGCATCTCTTACGAAGAATTTTCAATAAACTTGATTTATCCCAACTGACGTTTCGGTGGTATCAGTAATAAGTCTACCACTAAGGATTAATCGGAGGTATCTTTATATACAGATATCCCGATACAGCTTACACCCAGAGGAGGATTTATCTGAAATTGTGCTACTGAGTTTCTTTGAAATGGTTTTCTCTTTGTTAATTAATTTTGCAAATACAATCCGAAAACGAAGTTATGTAGATATTCAACAGTGAGACACAATACAATGATTGCACTGATTCCTAGTGTCACATTTCATGGCCTTCTTAATTTTTTGCCCCATATAAGCTTAACATCGAAAAGAAAAATTACAGAAGGCGGATCTCGTAAGAACTACCTTCTGGACTTGCTTAAGTTGTTAAACTGAGCTTCTTTAACCGTGCAGGAGCCTAGACGTGTGTGTGTGTGTGGCGAAGCCTCTGTCCTATACCTGTGCCTGACGATGGAACAAGTAACATAATGCTTTTAGCTTAACAGGGCTGTATCCCTGGCAACCTATCTTTCTATTACAATAGTCCTGCGGTCCATTGATACAGACTGCTTTGATCTGTCAAGAGCTCATAGCATTACTAGCCTTGACCCATGACACTAGCTGGAATCGCTTGTATGTCCGTTACAATCATCTTCTCTTCACAGGAAATATAGTACAATAGCCGTAGTGTGTGTTTCACGGTCTAAAAAGAACTGCTTTGACCTTGCTGATTTACGTACTACTGAAAACGTAACGAAAAATGTTCTTCGAGTTCGATACATTTAGCTCGTGAGCTAAAATACAGAGCGGCCCAAATTCGGAAGACGTCCGTACTGTTACCAGGAATTTCATCCTGGCGGTTTGTGCGTTAATACAGAGCAGATGTACAAGAAAAATATATTCGTGAGCTTGTGGGTTCAGATAATGAACACGAAGCATTTCTGATTGGTAATATCTCTCGAAACCTCCAATACGGCTATTTTTATCGTACTAACACTACACACAACAATCCTTCTTTCCTTCAGGTTCTCCGACTAAAAGAGTATGTAGTTCTAAATTATTACATGAGTGCTACATCTCATTAACATCTTGCTTGATGAATTATTATTATTAAGGGTCAGATTTAACGTTGAGATTTTAACTATGTTAATGGATGGATGACGTAATATCAATTTTTATGACAGACTGCAGTACAAGTGAACCTTTAATACTATTAATGTCGCTCTCGGCAAGTCTTCTGTCAAAGCGCTACATTTCAGCATTCATCTGTTACTGTAATTGCCAACGCCTCATTGTATGTTACGATACGGCAAAACTAATTTTCAACTCCGTCCAGGCACGAAATATCCTGGCCGTCTTGTCCGTTTGTGAAATTAGTAACCATTTAGCAGAATCCGTATCGTCACTCGTTTGATCATTCACTTATGCAAATCGTCAAACTGGTGCTTCTACAAAGCCAAAAATCGGTCAAGTACTGACGCGAGAGAAAGCTTCGAAATTACGGCTAATCCTGGAGAGATCAATAATAGTGATAACAATAACACGGATATTAATTACAATAACGGTTATAACATATTTACAAACTGAAGATTTCTGTCTTCTGGGTTGTTGCGCTGTATAGTATGGTAGATGTTTACCAACGTGTCAGAGGTCATACTGCCTCCGTCATCAGGGCGATAAATGATCCGAAGAGCTTCGAATCTCCGACTGTAGTGATGAGTAGCCTCCCCATAGAGGTTTACTATGTAAGATTTGAGGTTTTCACAGCAGTGAGTATGAAGATTTCTGTTTTCTGGGTTGTTGC